ATCAAATTATAGGCTTGGGTATTCTAACTTTCCCTCTGTACAATAGAATAGAATTCATGAAATGATGTGCCCCATCTTAGTCTTCTTTTTGCATGCCTTATGCCTCTCTACCCTCAGATATTCTATGGTATAGTGTAAAATGTGCAGGGAACATTCTAGGGAAAGGTAGATGATGGGGAAACCTTATGAAAATTATCTTCTTTTTAATACAAGGAGAAATGCATGATCCAAACTTATACTCAACAATTGATGGGTAACTGCTCGTCATCATATGTTCCTAGCTTTCAGAAGTTTTACCTTTTAAAGTCAACTCGTGACCATTTTTGAGCAAGGTAAATGGACTACTGGGGCTGACTTAGAAATATCTTCTTCTAGGATGTGATACAGAGAGTAGATATTGAGAATAGAAACGTGTAACTTGTTATGAATTGGAAAGAACTGAAGAAGCTTCTTAGATAAGAAGCAAAATGTCTTCAAGGAGTAAAAAAGAAAGTCCAGTTGTCTTTTGAAAAAGCACCTTTGGGACAACCATGACCTGGATGACTGAGAATGTCCACAGCAAAGAAGATGCTTGTTGCTTATTGTGACATGTATTGAAAGATTTTATTTCAACATATTTAAACTTTCAAGGTGTATGGATTAATAATTGTAAGAGGCTTACATTAAGAGACAAATTCTGCCAAGCATGGCTGTTTTGGGAAATTATTGATCTAGCCTGTTGATGACTTTTTCCTTCAAAAAGTGGAGAAGGGCAATCCAAGATTTGTTTCTAGGAGAAAAATAATAGACAGGTGGAAAATAGGAGAAACTTCGGGGGAAAATAACCACCTAACGCTGAAAGTTTAGATATTTCCAGACATTAAAGCTGAGTGTACATTATTTGTTTAATTATTTTTTACTTATTTAATTCCTATAGCTGCCCATCTTATCAAAAGCAACTCTAGATAGCGTATAACAATGCTAATACTTGAAGGCAGATCTTAGACTTTAAAAAAGAGGACATTTTAATAAATTCAGAACAGTGGAGTAGGACTCCATGGAAGGAAAAATAATTGAGAAAATAATCCAAGATGGTTGGAAGCTACCCCAAAAAAGTGAAATTAAATGCTTAATTGCAAGCAGTTCAAATGAGGAAAAAGAAATACAGCAGGAAAAAGGCCAATATCATTACAAGAACACTTATTTGAAATGTGAAGATTTTAAACGATAATTATTCTGGTCTAAGACTGTAATAATAAATTGTATTGTATTGTAAAGGATAAACGTTGGAGATGGTGTCAGGAATGCTAAAGCTCATAATGACCTGAGATTAGTTAACAAAAGTGTCACTTTCAAATATGTTCCATTTAAAACAATAAGAAACAGTGCCACTCAGTGAACATGAAAAATGAGTGACAAATAACAAAGAAAAGGAAGAGCTTCTACACTGATTCTATCTTCTCTGCATTTCACTAAGCAATTAAGATTCTAGTTCCAACAAAACAGAAGTATACTTAAGCCTATTGACTCTGAGTTCAAGTGAAACAAACAATGCTAAAAATGCTTGTTGAGGGTTTAGATGAATTTCTATTCATTATCCTTAAGAAATTTGGTAGAATGAGGAAACTATTTGAGAAAATTATTTTTTGTTTATTTCTAACTTTAAAAAGAAGATGAACCAGATTACTTAGTCAGACAATAATCTTAAAAAAAAATCTAGGTCAGGTTATGAACAATTCACCTATAAACATTTTGAAAATAATACAGTAATTAATAAAAACTATCTTGGATTTAGTATTTCATGATATCCCAATTAGCATGTATGGATTAGACAGTAGATTCATAACTAGCTTGAAAACTACTCAGTGAGTAGTCATGAATAGTTCCTTATCAAGTGGAATAAAGTGAGATATATTTCAGAATATTATATGAGTTGTTCCTGTGCCTCAAACATTTTCATAAATGATCTGGATGAAAATTATATACAATTTTCAAATGATACAAAACTGGGTGGGATACTTTAAAATCTACCAAACTGGAAAGGAGTTCAAAATTATTTTGATTAGTGAGAGAAGTAGTATTAAAATAATAGGATGGTATTTGACAAAGACAATTAAGATTTAATTAAAATTCAATATATATGCAAAAAGTGGTGAGTTTCTGGACTGGTAGTAATACATGCGAAATTGATTTAGAAATCATGTTGAATAGGAGTCAAAATTGTGAAAAGGTTGATAAGAGGCAAATACAATTTCTGGCTGCATCAGTAGAATTCTAATTTCCAAATTACAAAAAAAATAGTAATTCTATTCTATTCTGCATTGGTCAGGTTTTATTTTAAACTTTTAGTTTAAGAAGATGAGAAGGGCAATGCAGATAATCAACAGCCTAGAAACTAAACCTTATGATCAAAGACTAATGTAACTGGGTATGTTCACCTTGCAAAAAGATTATTGCAGGGAACAAATGGTAACATTTTTCAAATATATGAAAAAAATAGAGAGAGAACGTTCTCCAGAAATAACCAGAAAATAAGGATCAGTATTGTTCTCAAGTTACAAGAAGACTGACGCTGGTTACATGTTTGTAAGACTATTTTGATAGGGGAATCAGTTACCCCTTGTTGGCATTTTCCAGCAGAGACTAGACAAATTTTTATTGGTAATGTGTCTAGATTTTTATAATGATTAAGGAGATAAGCTTAATAGTCTTAATTTTCCTAAGAATTCTATGTGGTATGAATTAAATGATAATTTCTTGAGGGCATATACCTGTAGTTAAACAAATAAATGCATCTCCACAGCATGATATATTTTTTCAGGTTCACCATATGTGATAGCTATTGGAACAAGAGAAGTCCTTATTATTTCTTTAAAACTGCCATCCCCATCATGAATATAAATTTCACTCATATCAATTCCTGCCTTGCAGAAATAAAACTGCACTTGAAGCTATCTGAGTTTAAAACAAGCTTTAAAATGGCTCAGCCAGATGTTTGAACAGTATGCTTGAATGTATTTTGAATGAGAAATATCCCATTTCATTAAAAAGAAAAATCCTGAGTTATAAAAATTATTTACATGTAATTAAAGTTGACTACCATCAATTTGACTACCAAAACAGGATTAGGGAGAGTATATTAACAAAATACAAAACAAATACAAAACAAACAGCAATATGTGTATTTGTATGTATAAGGCAGTTAGCGACAATCTCAAAGTAGATGCTATTTACTCTCTATCTACTACTGTTCAGCTGATAAGGAAGAAACAATATATAAAATATCTTATGTGTTTGTGTCCAAACATAGACATACACATACAAAGACCATCAAGAGACTGCTAACAGAAAATAGAAAAAACTAGGTGGCCCTTCATAACTGCACCCATTAAATTCTAACCTCAGCTGTACCTTTGGCTGATTTTTCCACTGAGGTACAAGTTGTTGTAAGAAAAAAATCTAATCTGAAAAAAAATTATGGAAAAATATAGGTTGTAATTGATGGTAGTATAAGGAAGAAAAATCACATGAAATGGGAATATGATTCTTCAGGTATTTAAAACTCTGTATACCCTGTGGAGACAGAGTGACCTACTGAGTGACCTATTGAGCCCCACTCAACAGTAATATAGATTGAAGGTCTATAGCAAAAGGGTAGAATTTCTCTGCTTGCATTAGTTGGGAAACATGTTTGAACTATAGTGGAAACTTTCCTCAAGATGTTTTCTTCTTTCTTCTTTCTAATTATTATTTAGCATATGGTGACAACATGATAGAAGACATACACACAATCCACATAATTATATACCAAACTTCTATGGGCATATGCTTCATCACTGGAGGTTGTTAAGAAGAGACTGGACAAACTGGACTTGTCTGAAATGGTATAGGATCTCCTGCTTGAGCAGGGGGTTGGGCAAGAACTGTGATGGCGAACCTATGGGACATGTGCCAGAAGTGGCATGCAGAGCCATCTTTCCGGGCACGCGAGCCGTCGCCCATTGCTCTTCCAGGTTCTGGCACAACAACAAACTGGTCTTCACATGCACAGGAGGGCCAGAAACCGAAACAGCAGCCACCCGATGCACATGCACATGCTGGGAAGATGATCTTCTGGTTTCTGGCGTTCATGCATGTGCAAAGCCCAGCTGGCCAGTGTGCATGCATGCACGGGAAAATGTAAGATCATCTTCCCAGTGCGTGCATGTTCACTGGGCAGTTGCTCTTCTGGTTTCAGGTGCTCCTGCGTGTGTGAAGACCAGGTGGCCTGCACACCATAACCCAGAAGAGCAAGAGAAGCAGAGCTGCCAGCCAGGATGGGTGGGCCGGGGCTTCCCTCCCTCCCTGTCCGAGCAGGCTTCTTGGGTGGCTCCAGCCCTCCAGCTCCCAGCACCAATGCACATCCATGGTCCAAAGCACCTGGCTGGCTTGGGTGCATGGGGAAACAGTGCAGCATTTGCTGGCTGGACAGCTGCCTACTCCATCCACTGCTCCTGCCCCTGTGAGGGGTGAGGGGGCGGCGGTGGTTCTCATGATGACGCTTCCGGCCGGGATGCTGGACCTGCTGTCGGAGAGGCAAGCTGTCCCAGGAGGAGAGTGCAGCTCCTCAGACATGGAGATGCCGCAGAAGGGTAAGAGGCACGCTGGCTGGGAAGTGGACAGGAAGGGGAAGGGAGCTACACTGGCTTGTTCTCAGTGGTGGGCTGGGGGGGCTTCATCCTGGACAGAGTTGAGGTGAAGCTCTCCTGCCTGCTGGCCCCCAACCCAAGCCCTGGGAATGCCGATACCCCTTCCCTCTGAGGCCAGGAAGGGGCTCTGGCTTTCCAGCAGAGGGAGGCAGCATTCCATGCCCAACTTTCTCTCTAAATACAGAATGCTAACTGCATTTACAATTAAAAGGGGGGGGGGAGGCCAAGTCAAGTTGACTTAACTTTGCTTAGAAGTACAAATTGCTTATGAATATGTCTCCACAAGTATAATAAAAGAGCTACCAATAACACACTGGTTTCTTTTTGTTCCAGGGACAATTGTGAATCTCAGCTCAGCTCAACCTTTTAAGATATCTTGAAAAATCATACACAGTGAAAACCCAGACCTGAAGATCAGTATTACAATGGAAAAGAAAACCTGGAAATTTTCAGCTCTGTGACTGAAAGACAAAAGGGCCTTAGACACAAGTAACATAAAAAGAAGGAAAAGATCAATGAAACTTAAATTCCTGAACAATGTATATAATACATGATCCTTTAAGTAAAGGGAAGAGTTTCCCTGTCCATCATTTCTGACTCTAGGAGGTAGTGCTCATCTCTGTTTCTTGGCAGAGGGAGCCAGCATTGTTTGAAGAGATTTTCTGTGGCCAGCATGTCTATATGCTGAGGCACATGGAACTCTGTTACCTTCCCAAGGAAGTGGTACCTATTAATCTATTTGCATTTCCATGCTTTTGAACTGCTAGGTGGCCAGGACTTGGGGCAAGGAATGGGAGTTCATCCTGTTGTGAGGCACTCAGGTCTCAAACCTGGGCTGTCAGCTTTCTAGCTGACAAGGTCAATTATTTTTAACCACTGAGCCATCTCACCCCACACTTTTAATAACTTAATAATTTTATTTACGTACTAAGTAAAGAAAATGATTTTGTCTGGGTGCAGTAATACAGATCAGAGAGAAAACTCAACTAAACTATCACTGCTGTAAAGAATGGGAATACTATTTAAAGTCATTGTCATCACACTCACCATCATTATTATCTTCAGAAATATTACCACCATGCTGTGACATTCGCTAATATTTTATTTATTCGTGTACTTGTTATTGTTGCTTACTTCAGTAGACTCTGAATATGAGATAGGCTGGACTAAAAAACCCATAATAATAAAACATTATAGTCCTCCACAAACACAAGCCTGGGAGCAGAGGCAGACACTTAAGAGCTTTCCGGAAGCCCAGGAGAGTTGTTAAAGGCACACTATCATTGTCCTGGGAAATGTCATTGTCAAAGCGAGCCCTTTCATAAATCATCATTTCCTTCCAACTTTTGAAAAGGTATGTGATCTATTTTTGCTTTACTTTGATCTAACCAAACTCAAATATGAGATCTTTCTAAGAAAAAATAATCTATATCCCCTGTAGCTTCAGTAGCATATGAAGGTACTTTCAAAGAACTGGAGTTTTGAAAAAAAATATTACTGAAAAAAATGGGAATATATGCCATTATGTAATTTTTCCAAAGTGGACAAGGATTCATAATACCGATGTCTTGCCTGAAGTCCAACCATCTAGCTTATTATCTACTTGCAGTTCACTATGCACAGAAATCATATTATGTATTCATAACATATATGAGCTCATGCTGTCTGAAAAGTCGCATGTTGCTGTGACTGTATTGTTAAGCCATAGAAAAGTTCCTTAAGGCAGAGCACAGAACATCTCTGCTGTTGTAATTGTTTAAGTAAACATAAGAGTTTTATTCACATGAGAGCAGGGATCTGTTCAAGAAATTGTTTCTGAGGGAACCAAGTGCCACACTTTAAGGCAGCGAGGATGGTAGAAGGAAGGGGAGGCAGTAGCAATTGATTTTTAAAAAATCTCTTCAGGAACTATATCCCCCACCTACACCCACACCCCGATAATGAAGTCAATGTAATGTACTGCCAATGAGTGTATTATGCACCATGCTACTTTTTTCATGTGGCAGCTAAAAATATTATGCCGGTATCCTAATTACTTTTAATAAACATCAGGAAGCAGGCAGCACATAACCCCTAAAAAGGAGCTGGAGAACAGAATAGTTAAGTCTATCTTGAAATGAATAACGTGCAACAGAAAAATAATGATTGATCTATTATGCATATGGAAGCCTTGAATAGGCTTCAATATTTCTGTCCCATAGTTTTGTGGTCTAAGAAACCCTGCTTTAAAAACAAATCTCTATCACAGTTGGTGTATTTGATCAAGAACAAGGAGAAGAAGAAAGGAAAGGCAGCAACTGGATTACAGATTAAACCATGAAAAAAACCCACTTTATAGAATGAGTTCCTGGATTTTACTTTGAAAACAGATGTGTAACTGTTGTGAAAGATTAAATCAAAATTAATTTCAAATTCCAAAGAAATGGCAAGTGATAGATATGTACTTTTTCTGAATCATTGGAGGTTGAGTATTAAATGACACAACCAACATTAATTTATCTAGTAATTACTAACACGTGATTTCATGAAAGTTACATGAGTGCAAATCAAATTGATTTTAAAAAATCCTATTCAATATAACACAAAAAAGGAAGTATTCATTAACTACAATACATGAAAGATTATAGAAGAATCTTTGTACAATATTACAATTTTTTGTTTCCTCTCTGGATAATTAAATTTCCTATTAAAAGCATGCATAACTGAAGGGACAATTGAATCATTAATATTTAAATTTTCTATGGACTTCAAACCAAGTGTTTGTTTCATGGGCAATCTTCTGTATTCATTACGTTATATTATTTTATTTTTAAATAGACATATTGGCTGCTTTATTGTTAAAATAAGTGTTTCCATCTTTAGCATTTTCAACAATAAGAGTGAATGCTGTAAAGGAACAAATAAAATACTTCATTCTTTTTCTATCCTTTGATTGTATGCAGAGAAAATACCTTCAGAAAACTAATGCCAGGATTACGGTTGAAGGTAGAGCTATGGGATCCTATTCAAAAGAATGAATAGGACTGTCCTCAAATGGAATTCAGTACCCTTTCCTAGTTTGAAGTACATTAAGTAATATAGATTACCTTCTAAAACAGTGTTTTTCAATCTTGGCAATGTTAAGATGTGTGGACTCCAAGTCCCAGAATTCCTCAGCCAGCATGCTGGAAATTGAAGTCTGTAGATCAGGAGTGTCAAACTCACAGCCCAAGGGCCTAATGCATCATGCATTGACCATGCCCACCCCCAGTTTAGCAAAGGGAGAAAAAAGTTGTGATATGTCATGTGTCATCAGAGGTTTGACACCCCTGCTGTAAATCTTAGAGTTGCCAAGATTAAGAAATGCAAGGAGTGCAAATTTGCTCACCTTAAAGGCATGTTGAGGGATGTTACTATAAACCTTAGGGGGGCAGGTAGTTTGGAAGTAGCTTCAGGAGTCTGAGAGCACCTATTTTTCTCCTTACCTTATTCTCCAAACAGAAACAAATTAGGGGGAAAAAACCTTGCATTTTTAGCACATGTACTTGGCAACTCTAGGAGTCACAAAAGACATGCCATTGAATTGCATATTTTAGTTTTATTTTTCTTAGGCAGGACATTGAAATGACATTAAGTAATTCTGGGATATACACACCCAAAAAATCCATCCTTTCTTCAAAAAAAAATAAATAACTAGCTAGGTAAAGGTAAGGGTAAAGGTTCCCCTGGCACATATGTGCTAGTCGTTCCTGACTCTAGGGGACAGTGCTCATCTCCGTTTCAAAGCCGAAGAGCCAACGCTGTATGAAGACGTCTCCGTGGTCATTTGGCCAACATGACTAAACACCAAAGCGCATGGAACGCTGTTACCTTCCCACCAAAGGTGATCCCTATTTTTCCACTTGCATTTTTTATGTGCTTTCAAACTGTTAGGTTGGCAGAAGCTGGGACAAGTAATGGGAGCTCACCCCATTACGTGGCACTAGGGATTTGAACCGCTGAACTGCTGACCTTTCGATCGATAAGCTAAGCGTCTTAGCAACTGAGCCACCGCGTCCCAAAATAACTAGCTACCAAGTCTTAAATGTTGAAGTATATCATACCAAATTAGCTAGGATTGTACTAACTATAACTTTTGGCTTGGATATTTATTCAGTACCTTGGTAAATGTCCTGAGATTCAAACTGTGATTTAGAAAGGTTTAATTTCTATTTCTTGTGCATTGCATAAGAAACCAAGAAAAAGAAATTATACCTGACACAAATGGATTACATTTTCATGACTGACAATTCTTTAGCTGAGTTTGACATACATTCAGTGTGAAGCACATAATGTCTTGTTTTGATGATATTTTTAAGATTTATCAATCAATCAGTTGTAAAACACATCACAAATGAAATTGCCAAAAACTATTGTCCTTTCATAAAGGGCTTCTTATATTTGTTTCTGGCAAATTTTCATGAAAGTCACCCAGAATTTAAAAGTAGCTGTCTCTGAGGATGCTTATATACCTCCCCACTGCCGTTTATGATACTTTAAATGGAAATTAGAAGAACATCTAAATCATTTTACAAGGATAAATTCACAAGATAGAAAGTTCATTGTGAAGAAGTTTAAAGCTGTATTTCACTAAACTGGCTAAATTCCCTTAAAATTCAATAGGACAGCAGGTACTGATAAATATAAAACAAATAATGTTGAGGGAATGAACTTGAGCATGTAGTATTTCATAAGAAAAGCCTAATACAGATAGCCCTTGACTTATGACCACAATATATATATATATATGTTGTTGTTAGTTGCGAAGTCATGTCCGACCCATTGTGACCCCATGGACAACATTCCTTCAGGCCTTGCTGTCCTCTACCATCCTCTGGAGTCCATTTAAGCTCACGACTCCTGCTTCAGTGACTCCATCCAGCCACCTCATTCTCTGTCGTCTCTTTCTTCTTTTGCCCTCAATCTTTCCCAGCATTAGGCTCTTCTCCAGTGAGTCCTTCCTTCTCATTAGGTGACCAAAGTATTTGAGTTTCATCTTCAGGATCTGACCTTCTAAAGAGCAGTCAGGGTTGATCTCCTCTAGGACTGACCGGTTTGATCGCCTTGCAGTCCAAGGGACTCACAGCAGTCTTATCCAGCACCATAGTTCAAAGGCCTCAATTCTTTGGCGTTCAGACTTTCTTGTGGTCCAACTTTCACAGCTATAAATGGCAACTGAAAAACCATAGCCTTAACTATATACACTTTTGTTGGCAGGGTGAGGTTTCTATTTTTTAGTATGCTGTCTAGATTTGCCATAGCTTTCCTCCCCAGGAGCAAGCGTCTTTTAATTTCTTGGCTGCAGTCCCCATCTGCGGTGATCTTGGAGCCCAGGAAAATAAAATCTGTCATTACCTCCATTTCTTCCTCATCTATTTGCCAGGAATTGAGAGAGCCAGATGCCATGATCTTAGTTTTCTTAATGTTGAGTTTCAAGCCAACTTTTGCAATCTCCTCCTTCACCCGCATCAAGATGCTCTTTAGTTCCTCTTCACTTTCTGCCATTAGAGTGGTATCATCTGTATATCTGGACAGATGTGGACAGGGTTCTGGG